CTTTAGCTGACTGTGTTCAGCAGGTCAGCGGTTCAAATCTCACCAGCTCAAGGTTGACTCAGCCTTCCATCCTTCCGGGGTAGGTAAAATGAGGACCCAGATTGTTGGGGGCAATGTAATATATATATACATTGCTTACTGGTGTACACCGCTTAGAGAGTGCTTGCACTTAAAGCGGTATATAAGTCTCATAAATAAATAAATAAATAAATAAATAAATAAATAAATAAATAAATACCATTTCAGACAAATGGCTGTCCAGTCTCTTCTTAAAAACCTCCAGTGATGGAGCATTCACCGCTTCTGGAGGCAGGTTGTTCCACCGGTTAATTGTTCTGGCTGTCAGGAAGTTTCTCCTTAGTTCTCGGTTGCTTCATCTCCTCGGTGAGTTTCCATCTCGGTTAGGGCTTCCCAACCTTGGCAACCTTTGAGATGGGTGGACATCAGCTGATTCTATTCCCCACAGCTGGAGGAAGCCAGACTTGCTTAATGACTGCGGGCTTCGCTTAAGAACAGCAGCGATTTGCTGAAGCAATCGTGGCAAGTAGGTTGTTCCTGTCAAGCCCTTAACCATCACCTTGTTTAGCAACAGAATCACGGCTCCCGGGTGTCCTTGTAAGTCCAGGATTACCTGTTTGACGTGAAACCTGGTCCTTACATTAGTAACGGCCGAGGAGAGCAAAATCTGCTGCAAACAGGTTTGGGAAATGCAGCCACACGGAATAAATAGCTTAGTTTAGTTGGTAGCTCACCGTAGGAGGTGCCATTTGTCTCTATCTGCCAAGGGAACGAAGGCCATTTAAGGCTATCAAATCCAGCCCCCTGTTGGGTGCCAGAATCCAATTAAAAGATCCCTGATGGACACCCTTCGTCTCCAGTTGAACATATGGGGGGGGAATGCTCAACGTTGTTGTGGGTCGCTGGTTCCCCCCAGAAAAACCTCTTCTAGACCATGAATGACATTGAAAATGCATGAGCTACCATCTTAATTCCTTCCCCCCTTGTCGTAACTGAGCCTCTGAACCAGGTCCCATGCTTAGGGGGTACAGACCTGGGGTAATATACATTTCCAGTTTGAATTACAGGTGTCCTTGTTTAGTGACCACAATTGGGACGAGCAATTTGGTCGTTAAGCTAAATTGTTGCTAAATGAAACCATGAATAGAAAGAATAGAATAGAATAGGAAAATAGCATAGAATAGAAAATAGGAAAGAATAAGAACAGAACAGAACAGAACAGAATAGAATAGAATTATAGAATAGTAAAATAGAAGAGAATAGGATTATAGAATAGGAAAACAAAACAGAATAGAATAGAATAGAATAATGGTAAGAATAGAATAGAATTAAGAATAGGAATCGAATAGAATAGAATTAAGAATAGAATAGAATTAAGAATAGGAATAGAATAGAATAGAAAATAGGAATAAGTAGAATAGAATAGAACAGGATTATAGAATAGGAAAATAGAATCAAATAGAATAGGATTATAGAATAGGAAAAATAGAATAGAATAGAATAGAATAGAATAGGATAGGATTATAGAATAGGAAAAATAGAATAGAATAGAAAATAGAAAAGAATAAGAATAGAATGGAATGGAATGCCCACAATCGGTCCGCACACACAAGCAAAGCCCCATCCGTGGGATGCAGGCAGCACACAAAACCACGTACTCTCCGGCCCGTGGAAAAACTTTTCTCCACGGAACTGGTCCCTGGTCCCCAGAAGGCTGGGGACCTTGCGTTCTTCCATATCCTTCAGTGAATGAGGGAGAAAAAGCATTCTAAACCTCTAATTTTCAGTATGACCCAAAGGATTTCTAGAGCATCACATAAAGTTGATCCCGTGTTGGAGACCTTAGCAAAGGAAACTCAACACTGTTTTTTCCCAAACAGCCTCTCCTGCATGAACCTACCTGGGCAACGAGTGAAAATTAAATTGCACCTCCATTTTGCCATCAAGATTGATAGGAAACGTGAGTTTAGCCATTAGACACTCGCTGGCTTGACCCATGGCCTGAGCGACAGCGTAGCGATTGTTGAACAAAGCAACAACCAAATGTTCCGAAACGCTGGTTTTTAATTACTGTAGGCATACTATAATGGCGTTTTTCCACTGGAGCAACTTTAAAATGGCTAGACTTCAACTCCCAGAATTCCCCAGCCAGCTATGTTCCAATTCTGGGAGTTGAAGTCCACAAGTCTTAAAATGGTGGCGCAGTGGTTAGAATGCAGTACTGCAGGCTAATTCAATGCCCACTGCCAGCAGTTCGATCCTGACCAGCTCCAGGTTGACTCATCCTTCCGAAGTTGGTAAAATGAGGACCCAGATTGTTGGGGGCTGCAAGAGGCTGACTCTGTAAACCCCTTAAAGAGGGATATAAAGCACTGTGAAGTGGTATATAAGTCTAATAAAAACTACTAGCTTAAATATGAGATAGTAGATATTAAGAGAAAAAGAGAGGAAGTATTCAGTGTTGAAATAAGAGAAATTTTGGTTACTAAATTGAAGATATTTGGAAATTCATAGAAAATAAGAATGCTATACTGTATCATTAATTAGTCGATATAAGATGGTGAGAAATAGAATATATTCAAATAGATAAGACGTGAATCCTGAACACTAGATTTTGTGATGAACTGTGATAAAGGGAACTTTGGTTATTTAAAACTTGGAAATTATAAATATTAAATGTTAAATTTAAATACTAATGGGAAACTAAAAATTGGGAAAAACTAAGTAGGACGTTGATTGTCTACAAAGACTGAATGTTAAAATAACCAGGATATGTATAAGCTAAACATTATTGATAAATGTAAGAATGTTATTTTTATCTAATTCAGTGTTTCTCAACCTTGACAATTTTAAGGCATGTGGACTTCAACTCCCAGAATTCCACAGCCAGCAATGCTGGCTGTGGAATTCTGGGAGTTGAACTCCACATACCTTAAAATTGTCAAGTGTGGGAAACACTGAATTCTAATTGATATAATAAGAATTGTATTAAACAGGAGGCAGTAAATACTAAGGGGAAAAGAGAGGAAATATTTAATGTGGTAGTTTGAGACTTGTACTAAAGATACTTGTATGTTATTGAATTATCGGTTAACTTAACTGCCACGTTGTTTTTTAAATATTGAAATGTAAAATTAGAAAATCAATAAACCTTTAAAAAAAAGTGCTCTCGCTTCTACCTTTTTCATCTGATTGTCACGACGTTTTGCATAAACTCATTTTACATCATTTTGTTCCTCTATGAGCCATGGATCTCATAACTCACAGATTTGCATCCAGTGCATAAGATTGATATTTCATTCATGTGCGATTTGACACGGCTCAATGCTCTGGAGCAGGAAGGAGATTGCCTTGAAGAAAAAAAAAGTTATAATTAAAGTTGTGTAAACACCAATTTAGGCCATCTAGACAGGAAAGGGCCAGGAAAAGATTCACAATGCCCTGCCTTGATTCGCTACAGCTTATCCTCTTATTATACCTTATAATAATAGAGTTCCAGGACAGTAATTCATTCGGTACAGGCCGTCCTCGACATTGTAACTCTTCCTAATTTTACAACCTTTTTTGTGACAGTTAAGCAAATGACACAGTTGTTACAATAAATCCATGGTTCTCCATGGGGCCTATTTTGCCGAAAACAAGTAGTGTTGGTTTTGGACAAAACGTGTCATAAAACATGGTTCCAGAACCACAGGGCGTTTGCTCAAAACGGTTATAAATGCAGCCGTGTTGCTGAGAGCCTGGCGTTCGGTCCTGTGACTGTAGGATTGGAACTGAGTCATTAGCACAGGCAGTCCTCGACTTACAATAGTTCATTTAGTGACCGTTGAAAGTTACAACGGCACTGAAAAACGCGACTTAGGGCATTTTTTCAATTACCACCTTTGCAGCATCCCCTCGTGATCAAAATTCAGTTGCCTGGCAACTAGTTCGTGTTTATGACGGCTGCAATATGCCATGATCCCCCTTTTGCGACCTTTTGACAAGCAAAGTCAATGGGGAAGCCAGATTCACTTCACAACCATGTGACTAATTTAACAACTGCACTAATTCACATAACCACTGTGGCAATGGGGCAAAACTCACTTAACAAATGTTTCATTTAGCAACATAAATATTCAGCTCAATTGTAGTCATAAGACTAGACAGTCACTTGTCTGAAATGGTATTCTGTTCTATTCTGTTCTATTTTATTGTCATTATTCTTTTAATTCTAATTCTAATTCTATTCTATTCTATTTTATTCTATTCTATAATTCCATTCCATTCCGTTCTGTTCTATTCCTATTCTGTTCTGTTTTCTATTCTATTCTATTCTAGATTCCTATTCTATAATTCTCTTCTCTTCTCCTCTTCTCTTCTATACTATTCTTATTCTATTAATTCTATTTCTATTCTATTCTATTAATTCTAATTCTATTCTGTTCTATTCTTAATTCTGTTCTATTCTATTCCACTCTATCCTAGTCTATTCTATTCTATTCTATATTCATTTACATATATTCTATTCTATTCTATATTCCATTACATATTTTCTATTCTATTCTATTCTATTCTATTCTACTCTATTCTATAATTCCATTCCGTTCCATTCTGTTCTATTCCTATTCTGTTCTGTTTTCTATTCTATTCTATTCTAGATTCCTATTCTATAATTTTCTTCTCTTCTCTTTTATACTATTCTTATTCTATTAATCCTATTTCTATTCTATTCTATTTCATTCTATTAATTCTAATTCTATTCTGTTCTATTCTTAATTCTGTTCTATTCTATTCTATATTCATTTACATATTTTCTATTCTATTCTATATTCCATTACATATATTCTATTCTATTCTATTCCTATTCTATTCTATTCTTATATTCTCTTCTCTTCTCTTCTATATTCCAATATCTATTCTATTCTATTCTATTCTATTCTATTTCTATTTCTATTCTATTCTGTATTCCTGTTCTATAATTCTGTTCTGTTCTGTTGAGGACTACTTGTATTCATTGAATCCTTAAACCTCCTGACTTGACCAGTCGGATTTCCGCCTGCTGGGCGGAGCCAGAGGGACGCTGGCGCCACGCCCCCTTCCCCCAGCTTAGGCCGTTGCCGGGAGACCGACCCTTCCTCTCCATCGCCTTCTGGGACGGTCAGAGCGGCCGGCGCCGCTCTAGCCCTCCCGCCGACGCGACGATGGTCGCTCGTCCGCTCCCTCAGGCGCTCGTCCAGGGCCGCGTGACGTCATCGGGAGGGGACCCAGGCGCGCGCGCGTGCGTGATGGCGGCTCGGCGGCTACGGGCCACTTCGTCCTCCGGAGCGTCCGGCGAGTGAGGCGGCGGGGCGGCCGTGAGGGGGAGAAGCGGGTCGTCGTCGTGGTGGTCGTCGAGCGAAGAGCGACCCCCGGCCTCTCCGTCGGGGTCTCCGCGCCTTCGGGGCTCCCGGCGCCGGCCATGGAGCGGCGGCGGCGGCGGCGGGGGGCGGCGGCCGGCCTGCCGGAGGGGCTGCCGTCTTCGCCGTGGCGGCGGCTGCTGCTGCTGCTGCTCCTGCTGGTGCCGCTGCTGGCGGCGCGGGGCGCGGAGTCGGCCTCGGCGGAAGGCAAGGCGTGCGAGAAGCCCTGCGCCAACGGAGGACGCTGCCAGCCCAGCACCGGCCAGTGCGAGTGCCAGCCCGGCTGGGTGGGCGACCAGTGCCAGCACTGCGGGGGGCGCTTCCGGTGGGTGAGACGGCGGCGGCGGCGGGGGGGAGGGGCACCGCGGGGGGGGGCTGGGGTGGGGGGTGGGGGGACCCAGGACGAGCGAGGCTTGGGGTTGCCGCCCCCCTTCCTTCCTTCCCTCCCTCCCTCCTGGGGGAGGGGCTGCTTCCCCCCTCCCCTCCCCCTTCTCTTTGGGGTTCGCAGCTTGCGCCCCGATTTTGCAACTGGCTGCTCTTGGCCTCCTTCGGATGCTCCCCGCGGAGAGAAGCACCACAACCTCCGCTCAGCTCAGCTGCGGGAGGGGGGAGGGGACGCAGTATGTTGTTATCATTGTTAATAATAATAATAATAATAATAATAATAATAATAATAATAATAATATTTGTCGCATAGTCAGACTGGGTTTGGCAGTTTTGTCTGCCTATCAAGTCCTTCCCAAGGAGCTGCTGGTGTTGGTGTTGTTATTTAATCTTCAGTTCGATTCACAGTCTGAGATTGGTAAAAAACTTAATAGTTCAAGTCCTAAGCAAGGACCTAAGAGCTGTTAGGTAGCTATTAGGTCTCTGTATGTATCTGAATATATATATTCAGATGTGTGTGTGTGTATGCATGTGTATATATGTACACACACACACACACACACACATGTTTTCTGAGGTTTTCGCGGGTGTTTGTATGTAGGTCTTTGGTTGTTCGGGTTTTCTCCCGCGTAAAATTGGAAGTGTCTTGGCGATGTTTCGACGAAGTCCCATTCGTCATCTTCAGGCTGGTGCTTTCAGCTTCGTGCTTTGAGCAGATATATATATATATATATATATATATATATATATATATATATATATATATACACACACACATATACATATACATATACATATACACATGTGTGTATATGTATGTATGTACATACACATGTGTATATACATATATACACACATGTATATTCGTGTGTGTATATGTATGTATATACATACACACATGTGTGTATATACATATATACACACACATGTATATATGTGTATATATGTATATTATTGATTTTCACACAGTCAGCCAGATGTTCAGACTGGGTTTCACAATCTTGTCTACCTAGCCATACGTGTGTGTGTGTGTGCGCGCGTGTGTATACACATGCACACGCATACACACATATATGTATATATGTGTATATTATTGATGTTCAGACTGGGTTTCACAATCTTGTCTGTCCAGTCCTTACCAAGGACCTGGGATAGCCCAATGTTGTTGTTGTTATGGTTAATCTTCAATTCGATTCATAGCTAACCGAAGATATAAGAGCAGTTAAGGTAACATCTGAGTATATATGCAGTTCCGAGTAAGGTGGTTTTTTTTTTTTTTTTTGCGAAGTCAGAATAGTGAGGTCTATCATTAAGTTCAAAATTTCCATATATTCTAGACAGTTGTTTGGGTTTTGCTCCAAGGGCTCCTATTATTATTGGTACAACCACTGATTTTTTCCTCCACAATCTCTCAACTTCAATTGCAGATAGCAATACTTGGTTATTTTTTCTAGCTGTTTCTCAATTTGTGGGTCAATTGCTATTGCAATATCAATGAACCAGACTCCTCCTCCTTCTCATTATTATTATTATTGTTGTTGTTGTTGTTGAACAGCTTTGCCTTCAGAAATTGTGGGAGCTCCCATCACTGGAGATTTTAAGAAGAGACTAGACAGTCACTTGTCTGAAATGGTATAGGTTCTCCCTATTATTATTATTCATCGCACAATTAGCCAGGTTGCAGACTTGATTTGACATTTTTGTCCACCTATCAAGTCCTCTCCAAGGACCTGGAATGGGAAGAGGTTGATGTTTGAGGATGTTAGAGGTTTTATTATTACGGTTCGTCGCACAGTCAGCCAGATGTTCAGACCGCATTTGGGATTATTGCCTGCCTATTGAGTTCTTATATTTATTTGCCATCTCTCTGATTATTGGACTACTCTAGGTGGCTCACAACCATAAAAAAACCAAGTTGGAGCAAAGCGAAAGTAAAATAATCGAAGAATAAAATAAACAAGGAAAAAGAAAACCGAAATTTCGTGGATTATAGCTATTAAAAAAAAGCTGGGCCAGTTGGGGGGGGGAAGGTGGGGTCCGCTGTCAATCTAGCACAGTGGTTCTCAACCTGTGGGTCGGGACCCCATTTGGGGTCGAACGACCATTTCACGGGGGTCGCCAAACAACGCAGTCCGCCATTTTTTCCCCCCCTTTTCCTTAGCTGTGCTCCTCCCTTTTATTCTATTGGCTTTGGAAAGCCAATAGAATAGACTCTCTTGAATAGAGTCTAATTCTGTTGGCTTTCAAAAGCCAATAGGAATTGTCCAGGCTGTCTCTGCCCTGCTGAGCGCGCCAAAAGTCCCATTCTGCAAACGGTGCTGCACCAGTTGAGTAGTCCTCGACTTACGACCGGTTGAGCAGTCCTCAACTTACGACCAGTTGGGCGTCGCAGCATTAAAAAGGTTGAGAACCACTGATCTAGCACCTACCTCCAGAATCAAACTCTCCCATTGGGTCTCCAGGCCAATTGGCAGACCCAGGTCTTCAGTCTCTTACAAAATTAGAGGTTGGGGGCAGGTCCGACCCAATGTATATGTTGCATGAAGACAGACCTTCACTCCCCAGTAATGAGAAGGATCGTGTCCCTCCTAAGTCCCGGCTTGACTATTTGGATCATTTTGATCTTCCTTTCAAAGGGTCCGTTCTGTCCAGGTAATCCTCGACATAACGACCACAACGGAGCCCCAAATGTCTCTTGTTTGTAAAGTGAATTTTGCCTCGTTTTACGACTTTTCTTGCCGCGGTTATTAAGCGAGGAACAACACAGTGGTTAAGTGAACCTGGATTCCCCCGTTGACTTTGCTTGTAAGACGGCCGCAAAAAGGATCGTGTGACGCCCCCCCCCGGGATGCTGCAACCATCGTAAATGTGAGTCCGTTGCCAAACACCTGAATTTTGATCATGTGACCACGGGGAGGCTGCAGTGGTCTTAAGGGTGAAAAAACGGTCGTAAGTCGCTTTTTCCAGGGCTAGTGTAACTTTGAATGGTCACTAAATGAACTGTTGTAAGTCGAGGATTACCTGTGTAAAGGGGGGGTTCCTGGGTGCTCTCTGAGCTTGCTTGTTTTCTTGCAGACGTTTCCTGATCCAAACTGGGTAAGATCATCAATGCTGGAAGGGGGTTTGCTAGGAGGAGGAGGAGGAGGAGGAGGAGGAGGAGGAGGAGGAGGAGGAGGAGGACTGTGGTGTCCTTGATGCTCTCTGGGCTGGCTTGTTTTCTTGCAGAGCTTTTATTACCCAACTAGGTTACATCATCAATGCTGGAAAGGAGTAAGGTTTGCTGAGAGGAGAAGGAGGGGGAGGAGGAGGAGAAGGAGAAGGAGAAGGAGGAAGATTGTGGGCACTTTGGTGCTCTCTCAGCTTGCTTGTTTTCTTGCAGGCCTCTCATTACCCAAATAGGTTACATCATCAGTGCTAGAAGGGAGTAAGTTTTGCTGGGGGGAGGAGGAGGAGGACAACGACTGTGTGGCCCTAGGTGCTCCCTGACCTTGCTTGTTTTCTTGCAGTCCTCTCATTACCCAAATAGGTTACATCATCAGTGCTAGAAGGGAGTAAGATTTGCTGGGAGGAGGAGGAGGAGGAGGAGGAGGAGGAGGACGATGACTGTGGGGTTCTTGGTGCTCTCTGAGTTTGGTTATTTTCTTGCAGACCTTTCATTACCCAACCAGGTTACATCCTCAGTGCTAGTAAGGAGTGCGGTTTGCTGTCACTGATTCCGCCCTCTGCACCGCACTCCTTACTAGCACTGATGATGTTACCTAGTTTGGGTCACGAAACGTCTGTAAGAACACAAGTTCAGAGAGAGAGAGCACCATTTCAACCCGGAGCTACAAAACCTTCTCCTTTATTGATTGCCTGCCTTGCAAAAACCTCTGGATGTAAGGCCGTTGACGGAGGGCAGTGGGCAAATTTCACCATGCCACTCATCTTGCCTAGATAATTCTTATTAACCAAACCAAACCGAGATGCCCAGATTGGCGTGGCTAGTATCATTCATTTCCCCCGGCTACGTGAGGCTTGGAAGAAGAACCACGGAGAGGCTGGCATCCCTATTCATTAGGCTCCATTACCGTGGGTGGCTGCTCTCCCCGAAGATCTGGGATTGCAGATCCAGAGTCTGCCAAGAAGCACTTTTTTGCCCAGACTGCAGTCTTTTAAAAAAACAACAATAAAAAAAAATAGAGACACACATCAGTCTGGGCCGGTGTTCAGAGGTGAAATGGGGATTGTCAATAAAGGTTGCAATGTCTATTAACCAGCCAGGGTTTCACAGTGAATCTCATCAGATGGAGCAGTGGTTCTCAACCTGTGGGTCGGGACCCCATTTGGGGTCGAACAACCATTTCACGGGGGTCGCCAAACAACGCAGTCCGCCATTTTTTTCCCCCTTTTCCTTAGCTGTGCTATTCCCTTTTATTCTCTTGGCTTTTGAAAGCCAATCAAATAGACTCTCTTGAATAGAGTCTAATTCTATTGGCTTTCAAAAGCCAATAGGAATTGTCCAGGCTGTCTCTGCCCTTCTGAGCCCGCCAAAAGTCCCATTCTGCAAACGGTGCTGCACCAGTTGAGTAGTCCTCGACTTACGACCGGTTGAGTAGTCCTCGACTTACGACCGATTAAAAAGGTTGAGATCCACTGAGATGGAGGATTCAGCTGCGAGTGTCGTAATGGCAGGGCTGGATTTGCCAGAGCCGGGAAGCTGGTGAAACTGCATTGGTCCTGCTCAGGGCAGAGTCAACCCTCTTTACCCCAAACAAAGGCAGATCTGAATCTTGTTTGCTCCCTCACCTTGGTGGTATGAGTGCCAGAATCTGGGAAGGAGCTGGTTCCTTGAGCGGGTATCCAGCTGCGCTTGAATTGCTCTTCCCTTCTCACAATCCACCTGGGGCTCCGATTGACCTGCGCCTGGTGAGACCCGGAGGCCACGCTGAAGAAGTCAAA